GGGGGGAGGGGGGGGGCAGATCAGGGACCCTGCGGGAGTGGGGGCCTGGGACTGGAACAGGGGGTGGGGCAAACGCTGCCCAGCTGAGGCTGCACCGGGCTGTAGGAGAGGGGGTTACGGGTGGCAGGAGAAGCCACAGCTTGTCCAGCTGCTCCACCGGCTGCCCCTACTGGGGCAAAACAGACAGTGCCAGGGCTGTGCCGGATGACTACAAGAGAAACCACAGCTCATCTGCTTCCTCCACCAGCTGCCCCCGCTGGGGTGAGGTAGGCAGTGCCAGGGCTGTGCCGGACGACTGCAGGAGAAGCTGCAGCTTGTCTGGCTGCTCCCTTGGCTGCCCCCACTGGGATGAGGCAAGCAGTTCCAGGGCTGCTCCGGGCGACCGCAGGAGAAGCCATAGCTTATCTGGTTGATCCCCCAGCTGCTCAGACTGGGGTGAGGCAGGTAGCACTGGGCGGCCGCAAGAGAAGCTGCGGCTTGTCCAGCAGCTTCCACCACTTGTCCAGAAGGGCATGGGGGGAGGGAAGGGGGTGGATGTGTGACCCCCAGATCTGGTATTTTTACAATATAAATAAATACATATATATAGACAAGTAATATAGCCACACTTATTTATTTTATATAATTGATTGAGTACTTTACAAAATTCTGGGTTATTTTGGGTGAAAACAGGGTATCAAGCCTTGGTTCAGGAACCAATCCCCCATTTATAACATTGTTTCCTATGGGAAAATTGATTCCGAGTTGCAAAGTTTCGACTTAAGATGCGGTTTTCAGGAACCAATTGTGTCGTAAGTCTGAGAACAGACTGTACTACAATACAAATAAATAAATAATACAGTACACTTCAGAGATGGTCTATTGAGTAATACCAGTTACTCTGCACAAAAGCTGAAAGAGAGAAAATGTAAATACCAGGAAACAAAAAATCTTTACTTTTTCAAAAAAAAATATGCCAGAGTCTCAGAGGCCTATGCAGAGGAGGAAGAATTTCAGATTTCACCTGAAAAAAAGCATGAAAAGCAGCAAGATGTGACATTCTGTTCTTTTGTCTCCAGAAGAAAGAAGAAATAAGTTGACCGTGTGACTTAGAATCATAGTTTCAGGAATCCTATTCTAAAACCTCACACTTATTCAAACTTTTACAATCTATCATCTCAGTCATGTCTACTCAGTGCTAACTTATTTCAAAGGGAACTAGAATCTTTGATACCTTAACTATGGATTTTGTTGCATTTCCCCTTCCTTTGAATTCCAATCCCTTATGTCCCAGCATGGTTGCCTCCTTAAAATCTGAACACAGTCTGTGTAAAGTACCCAGCTCCCCACACCGAAGCTGGACAATTGGCTTTAACGTACATACTCCATATAAGAGCTACAACTTAAAACACAGCAGTGCAAAGGAATCATTTCCACACTTATATCTGGCATCCCCTTGTTTTTAATTCAAAGAAATGGCACATGAAAGTTTTTCAAGCTTCATGTCAACATTATTACATAGGTCATCAGCTAAGGTTACCCTACAAGTCTTGTGCCAGACACATACCCTGCTTTACTGATGGAGGAGAAACTCATTTGAGGGTCTAATTATACTGCTTGGTCAACACGGCACTAAGAGTCACTTCCAATGAATTTAGGATGTAGCAACTTTATGTACAGGCTGTACTTTCCTTATAGGCAACTGTTCAAATGTTACTGTCCATAAAACTAATGAGGCTATTCTACAATGTTAGCATTGTGTAAGGCAGGATTTCTGGGATTATCAAAGCAAGTTTATTTTGTACTGTCACACAGTAAAAACAATCACATAGTGAATTCATGTTCTGTAATGAAAAATGGGTTACACAATGGAAGCCATTCTCTCCATAGCGGAGTGAGTCATCAATCACACGGCAACATAATCCTACTGCCTTATATATTGCCTCTTTTAATTTATTCAGGAGTAGCTGTCTGCCCCAAGCAAGCAGTGGAACACAGATTATTTCATGGACTTCTACTGATTGAAACAAATGTGACAGTCATAAGACCAAGAGAAAATTCAAGCCCTTTGTCAAGTGTGAGCTGTGGAAGGAATATCATTTGATTTATCAATTCCCTCTACTATTCCTATGAAACAAAATTAATGCATGGTGTAGTTCCACTCATCTAAGTATGCAATAGCAGAGATATGTTTAAGCCAACGTGTATCAAGTTTTGCAAACACTTTTATAACAATTGGCTGGTTTCAACAAACTACATTTATAACAACTGGCTGTTTTCTAAGCAAAATTAATGTTTTGGTTCTCAGTAGCAACTGAGACTTGGTGCTTATTCCACTCTGACTGCCTGTGTAACACTTCATATTAAGGAGTTCTAAATATGCACGGTCTTAATGGGAGACACCCCAAGCACTCACAGCATATTATTCTTTCTTACCCATGATCTGAACTAGTCTCCTCGGAAAAGGCAGCTGAACAAGCATCAGGCCTAGAAGTATTGCAATACCAAGCTGGCACTGAGAAAGGCCACAACAAACTTCAATACCTTCCCTGGTGCCAAAAATGCTGATAGGAGCCTACCACAAGAATAAATTAGTACCACTCATCTGAATAAGACATATGCCAGTGCCCATTAAGTGCAATCCCCCTCACAGTCAAAGCTTTTTCAAACCATGGTGAGCCACAACATTGCATAGAGTTTACCCAGAATCTCTGTTGCACCCTCTCTCAGCCTGGCACATAAGTGCGGCACTGGCCCTCTGCAAGGTGAAGGTGGAGTGCCCTGCACCTCATCTGCACATATGTTTTTGGAACATCCCAGGACTTGCGACAAGAACACCCAGTTCCAGTCATGAGCAAGGACTCATTAGCATGTGGATCTTTTTTCATTTTTTTGTGGGGGGAGGGGGGTAATCTGGAGTATACAAACATACCTAGCAATGCTGAGCTGTGGGGTCCCCCATGGAGGGTGAGGGCACATCAAACATATGCACCAGGCAGAGAGAGTGACAGAGGGATTTTGGATGAACTGTATGCAAAGCTGTAGCTCACCATGGCTTGAAATGCTGTTTACTCTGCCGTGACACAGCCTAGTTAATTGTGGTAAATCATGAGCCTTTTGGCTTTTAACTAATTCCATGCATAGTTTATACTAGATATAAATAGGTGCCAAGGTGCTGTTCAAAATTGTGTTCATGAAACATCTGTGCTAAAACCTGCAGCAGTTCCAAAAAAAGAGAACATGTATTAATTCTGGATGGACTAAGTCTATGGGTACTGTATCAAATTGTACCATGCTTGTGGAGAGCACGGTCTGACAGTAAGGGGTGGGGAAAGGGGCTACCAGGAGAAAAAGTTGTGAGGAAGCAAAGAGCAAAGGGCTACCTGATCCCCCAGATATTTTTTCCCCCTGCTGTAGCAGTG